TATTTGTCTCTCAGCTAAGCTAGTTGCGTATACCATTATCACCACAAGTAAATACTTCTGAAGCACCGTTTAACGGAAATTACTTGAACTGCAGAACATCATCTGCAAGAAATAAAACAACAAAAGCAGGAGCAACAGCAACGACATCGACAACGACAACAACAATCGAATCAATGTCTGTGTGTATACAATGGACGAACCCACGATTTTTGCTATCGGTTACCGTGGAATAAAAGTGTGCACGGTCTACCATTCAGCTGTGGCAATGCTCAATATTTAGAAAAGCTCAATTTATTGGGAGGTACGCACCAACACAATTGAATTTCACTTATAACAATTACTTTTTGATTTTCTAAAAAAATAATCTTTTATACACATTACTTTTAAGCTTTGATCTACTTCTGTTCCACCATGGCGTTACTTCTCGACATTGGTACAGCTGCCAACTTCTTCCTTCTTCAAAGTTTTGCCTTCCTCTTATCGAAACAATTCCATATAACCGTTCAAGCGGATACTTCCATCGTTTTGGCAGTCATCCCGGTGTTCTTTTAATACTGCGTGGGTATTTTATTATGGCTGAATGCACACACCTACTCGATTGATTTAACTACGAAATCCATTAAGCCTTCTAACCTCAACTGTGTTGAGCAAATATGCATCTCTGTAAAACAGAATCCGTCGTATACATCTGAATATCTGAAGATAATTAAAACAAGTTCCTCGTTTAGTATCAGCAGTCATAATACTAGATATTTTTCCTCATTTTACGAGGCAGAAGGCGCGAAATCATAGTTCGGTTTCTGTCACTGCACGATGTGATATAGTGTCACGATACCTGAGTCGTTATTACATATGTATTCAAGACTGCATGTTCACCGGATGTCCACAACAAATTTTCGCACAGAAAATCGCCAGTTTATCTGTTGCGCACCAGCGCTTCATGGCCAGACCGGAGTAACGCTATTCTGGGAATGACGCATGGGAAAGTATTTTAGAAGCCAGAACAAGTGGGTTACGGTATTTCGTGAATACAAGTGTGGATGGACTGCCAGAAGTTGTAATGGTTACCGCATTTTCGGATAACCATTTCAATGAAGCAATTGAAATGGTGCGTTCATTTCCAGTTTTTAAAGCTAACAGTAAACTGTAGTTTGAAATAAACGCGGAATTAAATGCGGAACCCGAAACTGAGGGATCGCATCCAGAAAAAGAATGTGCCTTCATGCAGCTATCTCACTGAAAAATTAAAAAAGTTGCTCTATGTTCGAAGCTTCGCATTTACTGGAGCTAGTTTCTAATTCCTAACTTTATTTTTTATTAGACTGCACCTATTTAGTGATCAGTGTTGGTCAAACGAGAATCGTATCTCAGCGAATTTGTTTACGGATTTTGGCAAATCCCAGCGGAC